AAAAAAAAAAAACGTTTAAAAAAGGAAGAAAAAAAAGAAAAAAAATCCGCAAAAAAAAAGGAATAAAAAAAGTGCACTCTTGTTAAGGGCCGTCCCGCTCGTTTGTGGGGGTGTGGGCGCCGCCATCTTGTGCGCGGCGCGTCGCAGTGTGATGGCGTCACTAAGCGCGACACTCGGGTGGGCGTAGAGGGGGCGTGGTTTTTTGCCGTCGCGCCGGAAGTGACGAAGCAGCGAGGCGGAAGTGAGCAGAGCGGCGTGGGCTCAGCCATGACCCGATCCCGTGCGTCCCGGGGGGCGGCGGTGGGGGCCTGGGGGGGGTTCTGCCCGTCACACTGCCGCTCCCCGCAGGGCGACGGAGGGAGGCGGCCCGCGGGAAGCGGCTGCAGGTGAGAGCGGGGCCGGAGCACCCGGGGATGGGGCGTTTTTCCCCAAAATGGGAACATTCTTCCCCCTAAACTCGTTCGTTTTTCCCCAGAATTTGTCTGGATTTCCCCCAGACGGGAAATTTTCCATTTTCTCCTCTAATTGTTCTGTCCCCTCATCCTCTCGCTAAAAAAATCGGTCCGGTTTCCCCAAGAACCGGGCCTTCCCCCCCCCCCCCCCCCCCCCCCCCCCCAAACCCCCTATTGCTCTGTTTCCCTTTAAACCCGTTCAGTTTCCCCCAGATTTGGTTATTTCCACCCATGCTGGTTCAGATTCCTCTGAACTGGGATTTTCCCCTCCCAAATTGCTCCGTTTCCCTCCTTCCCCTGCCCAGTATGATTTTTTTCCCCCGTACTGATCCACATTCCCTCAAACTGGGATTGTGCCCTCCACAAAATGGTCCGGTTTCCTTTGGACTGATCCAGTTTCTCCTAAAACTTGGCCAGTTTCCTTCTGAACTGGCATTATCCACCTAAATTCGCACAGTTTCCTCCACAACTAGGCCAGACTCCCCCCAGATCTTCCCATTTTCCCTCGAGAACTGCTCCAGATCCCCCTTCTCCCTCCAGACTGCTCAGATTTCCCCCTAAAATTCGGGTTGTTCCCCCCTAACTGGGACTGTCCCCCACAAAACGGGTCCACTTCCTCCTAAAAGGTGATTAATTTCCTAAAGTGGGATCATCCCCTTCCCAGACTCAAAAGTTTCACCCTTATCCAGTCCAGATCCCTCCCCAGTTGGGTCCAGTATCCCCCAAAGCCGGTTCTTTCCCCCGAACTGGGATTGTCCCCCTCCCAAACTGGGCCCATCCCACCTTGCAGGGCAAAGCCGTGAAAGCAGCAGGGAAGAAGGACCCCGGGGTGCCGCAGTTGGGCCGATTCGCCGCCCACGTGGAGCAGCAGAACGAGAAGAGGCAGAAAAGGGTAATGCTGGAACACACACAAGAGGGAGAGAAAAAAAAAAAAAGTGAGTTTTGGGGTGAAAGACCTCAAAATAAGGCATTTCTGCCCCCTCATGCAGGCGGCCGAGGCGCAGCGGCGGCGGGAGGCGGCGCGGGAGGCAGCAGTGGGGCAGCGGCGCAGCCTGGGGGGGCTGCAGGAGGACGCTCTGCGCCGGCAGAGGGATTTTGAGCAAAAAGTGAGTTGGGGGCTGTTTCCCCCCAGCCACATCCCACCGTGAGACCCCCCCCTCAGTTTGATACTATTGTGGTTTTTTAGAAGGAGGAAGCGTCGAGCCGGGGGGATGCGCAGGGAGAGGCGGCGCTGCGGCAGTACGGGCGGGAGCTGCGTAAGGTGAGCGCTGGGTTTTGGGGTTGGGGGATAAAAACAAAAAAAAAAGAGTGATCTTTGGGGGGTGCCCCTATGCTGAATCACATTGGTGGGTTTTTTTGCGGGGGGGGAGGTGTTGGAGGCTGCTGATGTGGTGTTGGAGGTGTTGGACGCCCGGGACCCGCAGGGCTGTCGCAGCCCACAGCTGGAAGCGGCCGTGCGCAGAGCTGGGAGCCGGCAGCGCCTGGTGCTGGTCCTCAATAAGATCGGTACGGAGGGGAGGTGGGTTTTTTATGGGGGTGGGGGAGGTGCATACAGGACCCCTGTGTGGCACGGTGACATTTTGTCATCCCTGTCCCTCCTCCAGACCTGGTGCCGCGGGACGTGGTGGCCGCGTGGCTGAAGTATCTCCGTGCTGAGTTCCCCACCGTGGCCTTCAAGGCGTCCACGCAGCAGCAGAGCCGCAACCTGGTGGGGAGCTGCCATCAATGGGGGGAGGGGGAGGTGTCACCCGCAGTCACACAGTGTCCCCTTGTCACCAGGCAGTGTTTTGTTGTCACTCAGTGTCCTTTAATGTCGTCTTGTCACCCTGTGTCACCCAGCAGTGTCCCCTTGTCACCTGGCATCACCCACTGTCACTTGGTGCTGTCGTCTTGTCACCCGCTCTCCCTTTGTCACCTGGTATCCTGTTGTCACCCGTTGTCACCCAGCAGCGTCCTGCTGTCACTTACTGGTCCTTGCTGTCCCTATGTCACCTAGAGGTGTTCCTTTTGCCACCTGGCATCACCCACTGTCACTTGGTGTTGTGCTCTTGTCACACGCTCTCCCTTTGTCACTTGTTCCTTTGTCACCTGGCACCTTATGTTCACCCAGTATTACCCAGCAGTGTCCCATTGTCACCTATTGTCACCTATCCATGTCCCATTGTCACCCAGCATTGTCCCGTTGTCATCCACTGTTCCCTTGTTGCCTGGTGTCTGTTTATCACCCAGTGTTCTTTTGTCACCCGGTGTCACCTTGTCACTCCATGTTCTCTTGTTGCCTGATGCCCATTTGTCACCCACTGTCCCTGTGTCACCCAACAGTGTTCTCCTGTCACCTGTTGCCACCTACAATTGTCACCTTGTCACCTGGTGTTTTCCCTCCCACTGTTATCCCTTCATCACTTGACATCCTTTTTTTCACTTGGCGGCGTCCCCATTGTCACCTGAAGTCCCGTTGTCACCCAATGTCCCCATTGTCCCCTGTTGTCCCCGTATCACCCGGTGATGTCCCATTGTCACCTGGTGTCCCTGTGTCACCCGGTGGTTTCCCACTGTTACCCAGTGGTGTCCCCATCTCACCCAGTCTCTCCCAGTGTCCCGTTGTCACCCGATGTCCCTGTGTCCCCCAGTGTCCCATTGTCACCCCGTGTCACCTGGCCGTGTCCCCACACAGAAGCAGAGCCGGGTTCCGGTGACAGCAGCCCCAGAGGAGGTGTTGGCTGGCAGTGGCTGTGTTGGGGCCGACTGCCTGCTGCGGGTGCTGGCCAACTACAGCCGTTCACAGGACGTGAAGACGGCCATCACTGTGGGCGTCGTGGGTGAGCGGGGCTTTAGGACCCCCCCCAGTGTTTGGGGATCCCTCTGACCCCCAGTTCCCCCCCCTCTGACCCTCAATTTCCCACCCTTTGACCCCCAGCTTCCCCTGATCCCCCATTCTTCACTCCTTTGACCTCCAATTCCCCA